AAACCAGCCCTGCTAAGAGAGAGTCTTGCCACAGAAGTAATGCCCGTGGGTTTTGGACCTACCTCATTGTTCTCCTGCTCGGACATCCTTTGCTCATGATCGGATCCCTCCTTGCTCTGCTTCCCTTTAGATTTGCACTTGCCTTTTTTACAGTTCCCACTGCAGGGCTCCCTCTCCCCTTTGCAAAGTGCCTGGAGCCTAGCAAGGAACTTGGCCTTCCAGGCACCGAAGTCCGCCTCGATACTGCCGTGCTTGCTTTTGGTTACATTACAGTCCCCTTCCGCTCGAGTCATGACGCGACTGGCACTGAGCATCCACAACCACTTGTCAAGGTTTTTTCCAACCTAAGATGGGAAGAGGAACAAAGCCCAGGAACTTAAAGAGTCAATCATTCCGAAAAAAAACTGGAAAGGAATTTAGAAAAAGATGGTTAGATGCACAGCCATAGCTGGCTGACTTCATGACTAGGAACTATGGATTTCTGAGCTATCATACCAGATCTGGTGCCAACACAGAGTATAAACTTGAACCTTAGCTTCTCTGCAGCTCATAGTTTCTTCATTAGTAGAACAGTATTATTGTCACCACTGACTATGTCCAATTCGGGGTGCCAAACTTTAAGGAAAGATGTCAACAAACTGGAGAGAGTCCAGAGAACAGCAACAAAAATTATTTTTTAAAAATGTAGAAAACCTGAGCAGTGAGGAAAAGTTAAAAAAATATCTGGGCTGCTTTTCTTTTAGTTTTAAGAAAAGAAGGCTGAGAAGGAACACGATTAGTCTCCAAATCTCTTGACGGCGGTTATAAAAAGGACTGTGTTCTCAGTGTCCACTAGAGGTCAGAAAAGTAGTAACTGGCTTAATCTGCAACAAGGGAGATTTAGGTTATATATTCGGAGAAACTTTCTACTTCTAAGCATAATTAAGCTCTAGAAGGAGCTTCCAAAGAAAGTTGTGGAATCTCCATCACTGGAAGATTTTAAGAACAGGCTGGACAAACCCTTGACAGGGGTCTAGGTTGGGGTGAGCCACATGCGGCTCTTTAGCCACCTCCTAACAGGCAGCCATTTCTTGAGGCGGTGGCGGGGGGAGAAGTCTTCATTTGCTTCTTTACACTGTAAAGCAACGGTCACCAGCCCATCGATTGCAATCAACTGGTCACTCCTGGAGCCTCCGACACTGAATGGCTGTTTCAGGGCTGCTAGTAATTCAGAGGCACAGCAGGTTGCCTGCCAGATCCCCATGCCATTCCTGGAAGCAGCCAGCTGCTAGCACATCTCTGCATGCCCCTGGCGGGAAAAGGGGAGGACACATCACTACATACAGCCCCCAGCCCCATTCTCGCAACTACTATTGGCCAGAAACTGACCAACCAGAGCTGCGACGGCAGTGCCTGTGTGTGCAGGCAGTGCATGGAGACTCGCTCTCCTCCTCCCCACAAAGGTCTTGCAGAGACGTACCAGCGGCCTGCCGCTTCTGGTAGCCATGCGGGGCCATGGCATGCAGGCAGCCAGCCAACGTGAGCCCAGATGCTCTGCCAGCACCTCTGGTAAGTGCTTCCTGGTCACAGCCTGCACCCTCTCCTCCACCCAAACTGCCTCCCAGATCCTGCACTCCTTCCTCCCCAGCCCAGAGCCCCCTCCTCCACCAAATTCTCTCCCAGAGGCCAATTTACTCCATCGCCTATTTTGTTCAAGTCCAAATTTGTCTGTCATCCGCTGTATACCTGCTTCCCTGGGCATGTGTACAGAAGCTTTGCGTGGCATGTGGCTCCTGAAACATTTTGGTCAAAAGACAAACAAAAACAATTGCTTTGAAAAATTGCCAACCCTGGTCTAGGTTTGTCTGGTCCTGCTTAAGTGCAGGGAGCTGGACTTCAGGACTTCCTCAGGTCTATTCCAGTTCTGTATTTCTAGGATTCTATAATAGAGGATAGTTTGCAGCATTTGCTAGTAATAACGAAGCCTATGTCTGTAGAGTACCAGGTACTGCCATCAGGCCCTCAAGTACTATACAAATATATTCTGATAAGTTAACATGATTTTCTCTTGAACACAGTCAGATAAAAGTATTAAACACCATCAGACTCTCACATTGTTTGCCAATAACAAGATTTACATGATCCAGTACAGATAACAGAATGCAAAGGAGTACTTTAAAAAAAAAGGGAGAGAGTCAATAAGAAGTCGGTGGTTTATTTTGTCTTTAAAAACCACACCGATCAGCCTTTCACAAAACAAATTGAACAGCTTTAACTACTAGTTTTAAAAGTTTCACACAGAGATTTACCAAATGTATTCTGTATATAGTAGGAATGTTAAAAAAAAATTCTTGAGGGAGAGGAGAGTAAACATGTAACTGATGAAAATTTCAGCGGTTACACATTTACACCTAGCACAGAAGGTGGGAGGAGGGGCCTCCGTGGGAGCTGGAGCATGCGGGCAGCTAGCTTTTAAGCCAGCTTCCCGCAAGCACCGACTCCCATGGAGCCGCCTGTCCCCGCCTCCTGTGCTGTTGCCTCCGATACAGGGGCAGGGCAGGCGGCTCACAGGAAGCCTGCTTAAAAGCCAGCCTTCCGCATGCACCAGCTCCTGCCTGCTCCCTGCCCCTGCTGGGAGCCTTGTGTGTAACTGTGAAGGTTAACTGATGAGCCCAGGCTGATGGGTTACTGTGTACACCATCAGGTTCCTAGTGTATACTACAAAGGCTGGGAATCAGAGTTACTGTGTAGCTTTACAGGTATCTTTACTACCCTGAGGAAAACAATCCACAAGTTAACATGGTACCAATAGGAATTATTCCTCTTCACTTTGAAAGGATGCTGCACTTGATAGGGAGCTGGATCTGGCCTTATATACCGCCTCCTTTAAACAGCTCATTTTCCAACTTCTTAAAACCAAGATTCCAGAAGAGTAATTCCCTCAACCTGAGAGGTGCAGACACTGAAGTTGCTTAGCAACTCTTCGGGATCAGAAAAAAAAAGAAAATCCAACTCACTGTGTTGTAGTGGTCCACGTATACTGAATTTCCCAAGCCAAACACAGCGTATCGCATGCCTTTCAGATAGGTTTTGCCAAACCTAAAGTCATTCGCAGCCTCTTCTAACCATTTGCAGAACCACGCTGCATTCTCAGTTGGCTGTCCATCAGTGTAGGTAGCAACAAGAAACACACAAATATTTTTGCTGGTTGCCTGCAGACAGTATATCGGAAGAAAATCGTACTTTAAAGGGATGATAAGTGCATTTTCAAAAACAACTTTAATACAGGTTGGACCTGCCTGGTCCGGCACTCCTGGGACCTGACCAGTCCCAGATGAGGGATTTTGGCAGATCAAGGGAGGTAATTTGTGACCCCCTGCCTCTACCAGGGTCAACCCCGCCAGGCAGCTGCACACCATGGCTCTGGGACCCACTGGACAGCCACACGACGCAGCTCTGGGACCCACCTACGTTGCCACAGCTCCCTGCCCACCGAGTCAACATCACCGCAGATTCCTGCCCCACCAGGCCACCATTACCATGGCTTCCAGCCCCATGTGCTAGGGCTCCCAGCCACACTAGGCAGCCCTGCCATCAACTTGCTTGAGGGCGTTGCCCTGCCATCCCCACAGGGTCCCTGCTGCTGGCTCTCCACCGGGACTCTCCGGTCCTGCAACATCTGTGTAGGACCACAGATCCACGTAGGACCACCGATCCACGTAGGACCACCGATCCACGTAGGACCACCGATCCATGTAGGACCACACAGGTCCAGAGAGTCCAGGTTTAGAGAGTTTCAACCTTTATTAGAGGGTCAGAAAGAAAAACGTCCTTTCAGAAGTCTAGTCATGAAATCTACGGCAGAATACCCTAGGCAAGAAGCTGGTAAATTCACTCTTAGTATAAACCAGGGGTGACCAAGAGGAACTTTATGAACATCAACTAAATAAATCTCAACACCCCACCGAAGAAGGAATGAAATATTATTAGTTGCAGACATGACACTAAGGGCACCGTGAGGGACTTGAGCAATGTCTTGGTCTTACTTGAGAAAGCTTGCAGCAGAACCAAGAAAAGAACTCAGATCTCCAAGCTCATAGGCTTGTGTTTTAGACAGAAACTACCCATCCTACCTCATCTTAGAAACAGGCAGTTGGTATTAAATAAGGACCAACATTAAAACTATTTCAAGGCAGCGTTTTAGGCTGTAAGAGGCCCTGCAATGAAGGCTCCCTATTTACCCCAGAGATGCACTCTTCAAACCAAACCTTGTGGAATTTTCAGGGACCTAAGGGAGGTTTGCGGTGAGAGGCACAAGAGAAAGAACCCCTCAACAGACCCAGGAAAATAGCTACAATAAATAAATGTAACAATGTAGGAAAAGACAGATAGGCAAAGAAAGACAAACAGAAAAATACTAACCTCTTCTGCAAGACAATCATCGGGATCATAGTCTCTCATGTTAATGATTTCTGCCGGCAGATTAAGGGAGAGAATTGCTTCAGCAAGAACTGTTGCAAATCCCTGGAGGGAGAGACACGGAAAGGCTTTAACTGCAATAACCCAAACAAATTATGCTCTATCCAGCAACCATGAGATGGTGTTAGAAACTCACAAGCCTTGAAATAAGAAGCTGATAATATTTCCATCTGGCTATCATGTACAGAAGCAGAACAAAGATACCTATGAAACATGCATGCTGCATTTCTTTTTTAAAAAGTGAAGTGCATTTTGTCTTGGAAAAAGTTAGTATTTCAGATTTTTTTTAAGACTATTTCTGCAGACAAAAAGAAAAATCACTCATTTTTTGTCTTTGAGAAGGAAACTTTATATAGCAGCATCTCTCCCTACAAGAGAAATTTAAAGCTATGCCAATAGATTAAAAGAGTATATTTTAGGAGTGCATGTAATTAATAATCCCTTAGATTTTTTAAAGATGAATAATGATTTAAAACCTAATTTCCTCTTCATTTTTTATTGTATTGGACAACAAAAACCTAATCAATTTCACTTTGGGGTTCTTGCACAATATACACTGCTTGCAAGCCAAAGTTACACTTCCATAACATTTTGAATTGCCCTTGTCAACGTAAAATAAAAATCCCTTTTACCTTAGCAGTGCCAGTTTGAGAGCCGTAGAAAATCTTCACCCCAGCAACATAAACCTTCATTGCTTTTGGTCCTGTGTATCCATTCACTAGCACATCCTCTGTTACTTTCAACTGAGTTAGTTTTTGTCTGGATTTTTCATCCTACAACACAATTGTAGTATCTTAATCATACCCCTTTCAAACTCATCTTAAACTAGTTTTCATATAAAACAAAAATCACCTAGACAAATCTTCAGCATTAAGTTGGTGAGCACTAGCAAATGTAACTAAAACATATCACTATTACAATAGGCCCAAAAAACAATCAAACAAACATCACTCTCATTGCAGTAAACCACATTACTGTAATCTGATTTTACACTATAGGGTGTGACTTGATCACAGCACGTGTCTGAAGACATTTCTTCCTCCCATCCCACATATCTACATGGTTCACCCACATACACAACTGAACAAATATTTAATGAGGGAGTTTGTACCATCTTGAATGGTTTAATCCTACTCTTCGTGAAATCATGGAACTTTTATTGTTAACCTCACTGGGAACAGGACTGGCTTCTAAAACATCAGGTGTAAGCAGTTGTCACAAACATGATTCTACATTTAAAAAAGTACCCAATGCAGAGTAGAAAATCTTCTTCACATAGTAAATGGGGTGATTATGTGAGATTAGTTCATCTGTTACTGCATGATTTGGAGACTGAGAAGAGTTAAGGTCAATAGACAGACAGATGCAGGGTGTTTGTGTTGTTTTTTCAAAATGATTGATGAAGAAGGAAACAGCTGTTGCTTTTTTGGATTGGGAGATGACAATCATGATTCATTCTCATTTTAGATGCATCAGTGGATGTCTGGAGCTACTTCTATGCTCATCTAATGTCCTTATGGCTAAACAGGTTTTACATCTACACTAGTGCAGCTTTGGGCATCAGTATTTGGATCTGCTTTCAGTTCATTACCCTCAAAATCAAAAAGCAGGTAAGCGAGACTTCACAATTCTAGTATTTACATTCTTTGAACTGCAAGAATCCATCAATTCTTTAACCCACTACTGAAATGTATCCACCTTTGTGGGGGAATGTGGCCTTTCATTTCAGTGTAAGTCCACTCTAGGGCATGTGCAAGTTCTAACTACTTAAAGTTTAAATGAGGTTTGGCATACTTGAAAATCATAGTACAGGCAGTCCCCGACTTACGTCGGATCCGCACTTACGAACGGGGCTTTCTCGCCCCGGTGGTCGAGGTGGCGGATTGCTACCTGCGAGCTCCGGGGAGAGAGAGCCCCGTTCGTAAGCTGCTCCGGTGCCCCTGGTCTGCTGGAGACGGTCTCCAGCAGACCAGGGGCACCGGAGCAGCTTACGAACGGGGCTCTCTCTCCCCGGAGCTCGCAGGTAGCAATCCGCCACCTCGACCACCGGGGCGAGAAAGCCCCGTTCGTAAGTGCGGATCCGACGTAAGTCGGGGACTGCCTGTACTATGATTTTCAAGTATGCCAAACCTCATTTAAACTTTAAGTAGTTAGAACTTGCACATGCCCTAGAGTGGACTTACACTGAAATGAAAGGCCACATTCCCCCACAAAGGTGGATACATTTCAGTAGTGGGTTAAAGAATTGATGGATTCTTGCAGTTCAAAGAATGTAAATACTAGAATTGTGAAGTCTCGCTTACCTGCTTTTTGATTTTGAGGGTAATGAACTGAAAGCAGATCCAAATACTGATGCCCAAAGCTGCACTAGTGTAGATGTAAAACCTGTTTAGCCATAAGGACATTAGATGAGCATAGAAGTAGCTCCAGACATCCACTGATGCATCTAAAATGAGAATGAATCATGATTGTCATCTCCCAATCCAAAAAAGCAACAGCTGTTTCCTTCTTCATCAATCATTTTGAAAAAACAACACAAACACCCTGCATCTGTCTGTCTATTGACCTTAACTCTTCTCAGTCTCCAAATCATGCAGTAACAGGTAGAAATCAAGATGGCTTTTGGCTATGGACATAATCATTATAAATGAATTAGGGATTTGCTGGCCTTTTACCCAGTAAAACATGGCTGCGTAGACTAAGCATAACTGCAGCCTCATATGCAGGCCAAAGCCCAGACTGTTACAGGACATCCCAAGTTTCAACAGCATAGTTCTGGTGCGCTTAGTCTTAAACAACATGGTCTGTGCCATTATAGACTCTTAACAATTAATACAGTCTTAATGCAAAGCCAAACTTCATCTCACTGTCCACTGTCTTGCAATGAATCCAACGTATGTGAAACCTTGCACCTTTTATAGAGTTCTTCTGACTTCCAAGAGCTCAGTGCAGGATTAGAACCATTACAACTGCTCACATCACACAAGTTTTAATATATTATTAAACTGAACATACTTTATCAGCATTATACAAGGCGTATAGCCACAAGGTTTTTATTTAAAAACAGTATTTACTTTTAAAATACAGCATTAAGAGCAACGTACATTGCACTATAGTAAACCGCTATTTCCCCATTCTCTTTGGCTACGTCTAGACTGGCATGATTTCCCGTTAAAAGCATTTGCGGAAAAGAGCGTCTAGACTGGCACGGACGCTTTTCCACAAAAGCACTTTTTGTGGAAAAGCGTCCATGCCAATCTAGACGCACTTTTGCGCAAAACAAATCTGAGCTGTCTACACTGGCACTTTTGTGCAAAAGCTTTTGCACAAAAGGACTTTTGCCTGAACGGGAGCAGCATAGTATTTCCGCAAGAAGCACTGATTTCTTACATGAGATCGTCAGTGTTCTTGCAGAAATTCAAGCGGCCAGTGTAGACAGCTGGCAAGTTTTTCCGCAAAAGCTGCCGAAAAACTTGCCAGTCTAGACACAGCCTTTCAGTGCTAAGACACAAGTTAACAAAATAAGACTAACTCAAATTTATTCTTTCTGAAGAGCAGGGACTTCTTATGCTCCTACATGGGCTCCAACATCAGGATTCCAATACAGGCAGTCCCCGAGTTACGCAGATCCGACTTATGTCGGATCCGCAGTTACGAACGGGGCTTTTCTCGCCCCGGAGAACGGGAGCGGCGGGATGTCCAGATGTGCCGCGGTCCCGCCGCCCGCGTCCTCCGGGGCGAGAAAAGCTGCTCCGCATCTCCCTGGTCTGCTGGGGGGGGGGGGCGCGA